CAGCAGTCCATTCTAGATGTCGATGATTTGTATACATTTAGATCCAATGAGAAGGGCAAAACCAATCATATTGAAGAATTTTACACAGTTGTAAAGCTGCTTTCTCTGCTGAACGCAGCCATTTTTTGATTAGTCAATTCTTTGTTCTGATTGGTCGCTCAAATGCTTCGAAGTGTTTATAGCGTCAAGTGAACCGCAGCCATTGACATAAGTCTAAAGTCGGTCGCGCTTCTCTGATAAAAGAGAACTGTTCTAGAACTCTATAATATCTCTAAAATAAAATCTATCATTTTATTGAAAATTTATTCGCAAAGATTTATTATTTATGTTTTAACTACAAATTAAAATGGATTCTTATGTAATACAGGTGCGATGTAAAGTTGAATGATAAACACTAACACAGTAATTTATTATATTAAAATAATTTTTCATCTTGTTTATTTTGCAGATTCGACGGGTATGGCTTAATCAGGATGGAGAAGGATTGGCGGTAAATAATGCATGAATATTTTCATGTAGGATTGATAATTATACAGTTTAGCACAATCACCTCAAAAATCAATAAAATTAGGCTTATTCGATGCGTTTTTGCATAAAATGAGAGAATCTGGCAGAAATAAGCGTCGCTCTGCCCTGCGAACAGAGATATTGAGCGTTAAAGTTGAAAACTCTAGGTTAAGATACTTGTCCTGACTTGATATAGCGCTATGTATACATTTTGCATTAATTACACAAATTCTCTGTTTTAAAAACAAATTTATTGCTTTAGAAGCACAAATTTACTGTTTTAAAAACAAATTTATTGCCTTAAAAGCACAATTCACTTCTTTAAAAACACATTCACTGTTTTACAATCATAAATTTATTGCTTCAAAAACATAAAATTCACGTGTTTTAAAAACATAAATTCAATATTCTTTATGACCTGTTTTACAAACAAAAATTCACTGTTTTAAGCACACAAATTCTTTCATTTCAAGTAAAAATGCATCAAATGATTTTAATTTTATTGATTTTTTAGATGATTGTACTAAACTGTATAATTACCCTAGGATTACATCAATCAATGTGAATATTAATTTTTGTTCATAGGATCTCTTGTCTCTGCGACATAATCATGTCTCAATACCTCAAATAGGGTCAGAAACTGCTGTAAACAAAGCTATGGAGCATATATCTACTCCATTAGACGACTTGGTACTTTGTCACTTAAAGTAAAATACATTCCTTTTTTACAACTTATTCAAATGTACTTTACACTGTGTGTAATCAATTTTTTTGTTCTCCATAGAGCTGTATCTGCTATGAACAAGAACGATCCTTTAGCTATGTACAATTATCAAAGCTCTGCTGTACAGTATCTTGCAAAGATTCTACAAATGCAGAAAGAAGAAAACTGGATGTTACCAGTAATGAATGTAATGTGTTTGGAACTAAGATTATCGGCAATAGGTGCAGAAAATTCTAAAAATAATAAAAATGTAAAGCCTGGTGAAGTACTGGAGAAATGTGCAGAATGCTTGATGGCCTGTTTCCGAGTTTGTGCGGCTGACAGTAGAAGTTCAGAAGAAGACACAAAACGATGGGGAATGCTAGCCTTAATTAATCAATTACTGAAAGTCTATTTCAGAATTAATAAATTACATTTGTGCAGACCTTTGATACGGGCTATAGAATCATCCCCTTATAAAGATCACTTTGCATTAGCGCAACAAATTACTTATAAGTTTTTCGTTGGCCGGAAAGCCATGTTTGACAGCGATTATAAGATAGGTAAATATACTTTTCTATTTTATTTCTTGCGAACTATAGTGATTATTATTTTTATTTAAATAATATTAGAGAAATACTCTATCAAATTGTTTTAGCTGATGAATATCTGACTTATGCATTTGAACATTGTCACATACAATGCTCAAAAAATAAGAGATTGATCTTGACTTATCTTATACCTGTCAAGATGCTACTGGGATATATGCCCAAGCAACGTCTCTTAGAGAAATATAATTTAATGGAATTTTGGGAGCTGATGGAATCTGTAAGGAAAGGAGATTTACGTTCTTTAGAAGGAGTAATGGCAAAACACGAAACTTTTTTTATTGATGCAGGCATATATCTAATCGTGGAAAAACTCAAACTGATCGCTTATAGAAATTTATTTAAGAAAGTATACTTGGCGTTAAATACACATCAAATACCAGTGTTGAGCTTACTTGTGGCGTTACAGATGTATGGAATGGAGGATATAGATATGGACGAAACGGAATGTCTTCTTGCCAATTTAATATTTGAAGGCAAGATTAAAGGTTACATATCTTATCAGCATAAAAAATTAGTTATATCGAAACAAAATCCTTTTCCACCATTATCTACCATTATACCGTAATTGATCATAACTGTAATCGTAATTATTGTTACTTCACACAATAAATATATTATTTTCTGCAATGCAATATTGTGCGATATTAATTAAGTTAATGGTAAAAGAAATTTGTGGTAATTTTTTAAAAAAAAGTTTTATTCTCTACTTTTGACTTTTTTTTTTATTAATTTCATTTTTAAGAAAGGAATGTAGAACAGAATAAGAATTTCAATCATAAACTGTCATAAACTATGTATTCTATGGTACACGAGGTCTGTTTTTTATTTCTACTCTAACTGTAGAGAAAAAATATAATTTTGCGGCAATAGGTCTGTTTGCGTTGCATGAAATTCTCATTTTAAACTTAAAATGAGATAGATTTATGTCTATTAGTAATAAGGTTCATAAAATTTAAAAAACAATAAAGAAAAAGGGCTACAAGCCAAAAATTATTTTATAAAATTAAATATCGTTAATATAGAAGTTTGAACATAAGTAAAAGAAACAATTATATCCTTTAGTTAAGATTTAATACAATGAGCTAGCAATAAACAAACAGACGTTTCGATCGCGATCGGATCATTATCAATGTTAAAAACATACAATATTACAAACGGTAAAAACAAAACATAATGTAAATTTATACTTCGCTCTCTCTAACAAACGCTGGTAACGTGAAAATGATTATTATCCTGTTCGCAGTTATAATGTAGCTTGGAAAAAATTGTCGCATAACAATAGTTAATTGCAGTCAATCATTGTATTGTTTGAATAATGTTAGATAATTGTAGTCAATCATTGATTAGCTTGAATAATGTCCTTTGATATAATGTAAATCAGAGAATATAACATAAAAATAAATTTAGTCCTATATAGGTAAAATATAATATACTATGTTTCTTCATTTAATATACTGTAAAAAGTGTCCAATTGGACAATTAAATGTACGGAATCAGTATAAAATTGTTTTTGTGAATTTAATTGCAGATGCAAATATGACATATGTAAACAAATAATTAATAAATAATTTGTCAAATGTTAGTGTAACTGTTGAATATAGTTGCAAAATATATTTTTCATGTAACACTAATTTACTTTTATATTTGCGAAAGTTAGTATCATATTTTCAAAATTCTCGAATTTTTTGTTACCGAAAAAATTAAAAAAAATATATCCTGTGATTATTAGAAGCCAAGATAACAATTTTTTTCAAAAAAGTGGCTTTAATTTTTAAGATTAAGAGTTCCGTCTCCAATTTGTCAAGGAAGAATTGAATTTGCTGTTAAAAAATTCTCGAATTTTTTGCTGCCAAAAAAGTCCGAAATCGGACTGTCAACAATTAATTTTTAGTTAAAATGTAAACTTTGTATTGTTTGCAGATATTATGTAACTTACTCCTGGTGAAAGTCGCTGAAAGTCTGTTTTAAAAAACTTGTATATAAAATGCAGCTTGAGGGTGCACTTTATTTCTGTAATTTTTATAATATATTATGTTGTCATTTTATTGTTATGTAATCATTTACGATAATTTAGCATCATTTAGATTATCGTCTGTTAAAATACATTTCCCTCAAACATCTATGTAAAGATGAAGTTAGAGGTATGCATCTTCAAGTTCCGTATTTTATTATTTGTATTTTATTCTCCATATCTAAAAGTTCAGTTTTAAAAATGACTAATATCGTTGGCTGTACATATACTTGGATTCAGCGAAGTAGAAAAAAATATCTACATACTTATAATTAATAATAAATATCTACATATATATATACACTTATCGCACTTCAGATTTATAAATTGGCTTTTTACGGTGTCAATGAAGCCCGTCTTTCAACAGGCAAAAATGGTGAGTTAAAATCGACAAACTAATCAGTATACATGCAACATGATTTAATTAACAATTACGGATATTGCAATTATTACATTTCACCACCGACGAGATACTATTAAAGACCGACATCCTTACGGGAGTTCGCGTCCTTGTGAATATTAAAGCGATTAAGAGTTAAAAACTGATAATATTGTACTAATTTTATTAGTTTAGTAGATG